GGGACTCTATATGAATGTAAACAATGTAGTAAAACTTTTATATATAATACAAGTCTTAAAAGACATGAAAAAATGCATACTGGAGAAAAACCCTATTCATGTAAACAATGTGGTGAAGCCTTTAGAAAACATAGTCATCTTCAAAGCCATGAGAAAATGCATACTGGAGAGAAAACCTATACATGTAAAGAATGTGGTAAAGCCTTTACACGACACAAGTACCTTCAGGTACATGAAAAAATTCATAATGGAGAGGAACCATATGAATGTAAAGAATGTGGTAAAAACTTTAAATATAATAGGTCTCTTCAGTTACATGAAAGAAGACATACTGGAGAAAAACTATATGAATGTAAACAATGTGGTAAAGCCTTTATATGTAATAAGTATCTTCAACGTCATGAAAAAACACATACCAGAGAGAAACCTTATGAATGTAAACAATGTGGTAAAGCCTTTAGCTGTCGCAGGTATCTTCAGTTACATGAAAGAAGACATACTGGAGAAAAACCTTATGAATGTAAACAATGTGGTAAAGCTTTTAGATATCACAGTTATCTTCAGTTACATGAAAAAATTCGTACTGAAGAAAAACCATATGAATGTAAGCAATGTGGTAAAGCATTTAGATGGCACAGTTACCTTCACTTCCATGAACGAATTCATACTGGAGAGAAGCCATATGAGTGTAAGCAATGTGGTAAACCTTTTAGATGGCACAGGTACCTTCAATTGCATGAAAAAATTCATACTGGAGAAAAACCGTATGAATGTAAGCAATGTGGTAAAGCCTTTAGACAGTCCAGTCACATTCATGTACATGGAAAAGTTCATACTGGAGAACAAACATATGAATAAACTATGTGGAAAAGCCTTTAGATATCACAGCTATCTTCAGTTACATGAAATATTTATACTGGAGAAAAGCCGTATGAATGTAAACAATGTGGTAAAGATGTCAGATATTACAGTAAGCTTCAAAGACATGAGAAGTTCATAACAAAGCCCTGTGAATAGAACAATGTGGAAAAGCCTTTAGACATCACAATCTTCTTTACATGAAAGAATTCATATTTTAGCAAACTTACGAATGCAAACAGGGTGGTAAGACCCTTAGATGTCATAGTTACCTTCCTTTATCTGTAAATTCATGTTAGACCAAAACCCAATGAGTGAAAGCAATATGATTCCTAAATATGGTACATTTATCTTAAATTACATGAAAAAATTCATACTGGA